GAACAAAAGGACAGCAGCTTGTCTGTTCCCCTTCCCCCAATTCCCCACCGCTGTTCCCATCCCCCCAACGCCCCAATAAAAACCTTAAAAAAAAATTTTTTGAAAATAAAAATGAATGTGTTTGGAGGAATTAATTTTAAGTATATAGGCTCCAAAAATAACAGCTAATAATCAATTTATAAAAAGAAGGTATCATATATTTAACTCTATTTTCTTTCCTTTTTAAAGATCTCATTTTATCTGTGGTGTAGGAACTGGGTGGCTAGAATTCCCAGGGTGGGGAGGAAAGGGAAGGGAAAGGTAATTGATGCTTGATGACAGGAAAGGAGCCTAGCGCCCAAACTCCTAACAATGATTCCATTTTCATTTTTTCCCTCAGTCATTTCAGTCACAATGCTTAAAACATATGTCAAGTTCAAAGTCTTAAAATAAAAAAAAGTTTACCCAAAGATTGAAAGTCATACCAAATTTTCTCAGATATTGCAGAAAGGCTTGCTTTTCTGGCCTTTATAAAATTACTGAGAATCTAGGATTGGATAGAATAATTCGATTGACTTCATTAACAGTTCACCCTTGATTAAAAGTACTCTTGTATTCTCAAAGCTATTTCACTTTTATCCTAATTGTCTGGCAAGAATATTAAATGCTGTTAAATTGAAACGAACCATTTAAATTTTGAAAGACTATTTTAGTCACAAGAAATCAGTGCTAAGACAAATATAAGAACATGTAAGACATAAGGATTCCTTACCTGTTGTACAAATTTCTGATCAATGTATCGCTTTGCAATGCTAGGCTGGAAATCAGGGCTCTCCAAAAATCTTAAGAAGAATTCATACACCAACTATGAGAGAAAGTCAAATAAAAGCTAAGATGATGCCTATAAAATGTTACCCTAAGTTATCAAGTCATACCAAAAACACCTCCCTTACCAACTTAGGGAGATTTCAGATCTCATTATAAAATATAAGTTGCAACAGTTTTCTAAAAAAACTAAATATATATTTAAAATTTGGTCTCCTAAGCTGGTAAATTTTGGGATTGATTTATTGCTTTGAATTAGCAAACTGAATTGTTGAAAATGTTAAATTACAGGAACTAGACAATAAAGATAGTGCCTATAAGACATATAATTAAGAAAACTATTTTGAAGTCCATATTCCCTGGGAACATTCTCTTTCTCCAGGAGACTACTAAACTACCTCAATCTCCAGAGTTTGTTAAATACAAGGCCAGAAACCTCCAGATGAATTGCAAGGGGTAGTGTATCAATAACTATAAAAAAGAAAAACTTCAAATTTTTATATAAAACTACCATTGGGTAAAAAATTAAATCAAAACCAGCACACCTTATCCACACTTGGGAAATAATGAACCAAACTATATAAGTACAGGGCTCAGGAAGGAAAGTCTGTGCAGCACAGCAAATAAACTATATAGAAGTCACAGCAGGCCTTGCACTTAAAAAGTGCCAAGCGTCTTAAAAGTAATAACAAATGTTGACTTGCTATCACAAATCAGAATTAAAAGTAATTTCCAGTCCAGTATGCCTCCATTACACCTACACTTTTCTTTGAAGGAGAAAGGCAAATACACTAAAATTTTGTTTGTTTTGTAACAGCTATGAAAGGCAGGGGGATAGCCCAAAATGCGCCTTCATTTATTAGCTATTAAGCAACATATCAATCTGGCACCCTAAAAATAAAAAAGGAGTTTTAGATCCCAAAGTGAAAATAGTCATTCAGTAAACACTGAGGGAGCCAGTTAGGCCACATATAGAAGGGAGAAGGGAACAAAAGATTGCTACACTGAATTTACAGACCTCACTGCATACAAAAAACACCAGATCTGGGCGCCATCATTCACCACAGAGGAACACATTTTTACTACTATGAGTTCAGTAATATTCTAAAGCAAACAACAGTTTTGGGATCTGAGTAAATATTTTTTGGAGGGCATGTATGCCCAACTATGCAAAAGGAGTGATGCCTATCTGGTCTATTATCTAGCTTTTAAAATTAAGTATGAATTAAGGATATAACAAGAATAGAAGCTGATATTAATTTTTATTTATAATTTTCAACCAACTAAATAATTTGCTTTGGGGTACACACAGGTAAAAAGATACAGAAATTATCCGAGTGCTCTGAAGACTGTATGTACAGTCTCATGGACTGCTACGCAGCTTCACTGGCACAACTTGTCCAGTGCCTGTTTTCATGTCCAATACTGACACACTGTGATATAATAAAAAAATATATATATATATTTGGTCTTCATCTCTGGTTATTGGCACAGAGCTCTTAAAACCCCTGGAATTTCCTGAGTAATAAGGGGTGAGAGGAGCATCTTTTTGTTATTCGTAATAAGCCCCTTTCAACCATACCTGAGCTTATGCTAATGATGTGACTCTAGGAGGATGAAGACTGGCTATCATAGGGACCAACCATGTGAGTAGAGGGCTGGAACTTTCAGCCTCAAGTCCCCATCCTCCAGGGAGGGCAGAGTAGCTAGAGATTGAGTTCAGTCACAAAGATATATCATGCAAACAAACGGATAAACAAAATGTGATCTAGTCATACAGTAGAATCTTATTCAGCCATTAAAAGGAATGAAGTATTGATACATGCTACAATACTGATAAACCTTGAAAATATTATGCTAAGTGAAAGAACCCAGACACAAAAGGCTACATATTATATGATTCCATTTGTATTAAATACCCAGAACAGGTAAATCCATACAGAAAATAGACTGGTTGTTGTCCGGAGCTGTGGGAATGGAAGGATAGGAAGTGACTGCTAATGACAAGGGGGTTTCCATCTGGGGTGATGAAAACAGTTGTGGAACTCGATAGCAGTGAGGGTTGCACAGCACTGTAAATGTACTTAATGCCACTCAATAGTACACTTTAAAATGGTTTAAATGGTAACTGTTAAGTGTCTTTTATCACAATAAAACAATGAAAAACTATTTTGGGAAGAGAAAATAATGTTAAACTTATTAAAAGTAAAATATTTTAAACAGACACAAAAATAAAAAAGAAAATATAAACCAACAAAAAAAACCCCAGAATACACTCAGATCTAAAAGAGTATTTTAGCAGAATATCATCAATGTAAAAACTGTCAATACGTAATTATGTTCCATACTTGTATGTGAGGCCAAGAGGCCTCCAGCGTGGGTTCGTCCTCTTCTGGATCAAAATCTGGGTTATCACTTGGAGGAAGAGTACGGAAGATGTTAGCACTGATCTGTAAAGAAAAATGAATTTAGATTTATGTTCTTCATTGTGTAACTCAGTTCACAATGCAAAGTGAAATATTTTAAAGGTAACTTTAAGAAAAAAGTTAAGTTGTGGCCATAAGCTCAGTTCAAAATCCATAAACTTCTTCAAGACATGAAGAAGGCAGGCGTTTTTTTTTCTTCTTTTCTCTGTCCCGTTAACTGACTTCTTCAGATGCCAAGCTACTGAAGATTACAGATTACCTCTGGATTCCTCTCCCTTAAATTACAAGTTGTTCTTTCCAAGTTTTGCTTTAAAAAAACGGGGAGGGGAGCAAATTTGGGGAGGAAAAGCATAAAGTTCCTAACTCTTTCTTGATTCTTTTCATCTTTCCACAGTTCCCCCATATTCTAATCCAGCCATTTACTTACCTTAGAACCCAAAAGAGTTTGGAAAAATATCTCTATTCTTATATATACATAACACACTAAGGAAGACGAAGGAGGGAGTAGTACTACTATTATGTCTGTTTATAATACCCCATGGTGATTTAATTTACTGTATTTCATCTACTCTGAGCCTTTAAAAAAAAATTAATCTCTCTGAAATAAGGATGTGCTTTGAGATGTGCATTTTAGATTCAATGACATACAGAATTTATAATTTCATCCGTCACATTGTTTGTCTCAGTACCAAGGTAAATTACATATCCTTTTTCTCTAGCAAAGGACAGATTATGGTCCCAACTCACAATTCTTTGACGAATGATGAACAGACTGACAGACCAAATAGTTTCGTAAACATTTACGGCCATACTATTTAAGGGTCGGTCATTTGAGATAAACTATTTGGGGAATGGAGGATGAAACAAGGGATATTTGGTGGTGCAAGCAAATTTCCAACTATTCTTATGAAGTGACATCTACGGTAGGCCAAGTAACTGCCAACAGTCAATTACGATAACCAGAAGACTAGAAAGTAATAACAGAACGCAAAGCCAGTATATGAAGGCAGAATCAATAAATAGTTTCATGGATATCAATTTCACAGATTGGAAAAAATTCATAGATAGAACTTGAAAAGGAAATATATCCCACAAGAGGGCATAATTTGCCTTTGAGACCATCTTATTAATGTTGGTAGTAAAAGAAAAAGTTAACCTTGTAGCCACCAATAAAATTAACTGTATATAACAAATATACTCAAGAACTTTAAAGCACTAAGTGGGTGAGTTGACTTCACTCTTATCTAGAAATTAAGTATCCAGGAGCTGGGAAAAAAAAAAAAAAAGACAAAACACACACACCTTTTTACTTGGGAAAACAAATTAAATCCCAGAATTTATTAGCATATAGCAAATTACAGAATAATTTGACTAAAATATTTGAGTACTTTCAATATTTTAAGTAAACAACTTTATAAAGTATCTTTCCCAGGACTTTCAAAATTCCTGTATATAAACCATTTGAAATAAGTGGATATATGATGTTTACCCCTGAACATTTCTACATGATAAACACAAAACAAGAATTCTATCAATATTCAATATTTATATTCTCAAACTGTCACTTTTTAGTGCTATAAGAGTTTAAGGAGCCATTTTCTGTTTGATTAATGTTCTCTCTATACCTAGTCTTTAAAATTTTTTTAAGGCTTTTATTTTCATTTTTCAAAAAACCCATCAAAATTTCCAGTCTTTTTAACAGGTCTTCTAGTACAATGTGATGAAAGAAAAATTAATTAGTATATTAGGGCGAAATTCAACTTTCCTACACATTTTTCTCATCCCCCCAGAACATATATTTAGCATGGGGAAGGAAATGAAGGAAACTACAGGTTATACTTGCTATAACCTTCTGTATACCCTGGTAACATTTAAATTATATATTCAGTGACTATAATTATTCTAACCGAATTTTTGTATTTTGTTAGTATGCACCAAAATACAAAAATTACATATCCTAAACAAATTTCTCCTGTCTGATGGAGAATGAGGCTGAATTATTAAACAGCATCCTAAACAATCTTACTTCAGTCAAGTTGGCAGTAATTTATTTTTCACATCAGATATTTCAAACATATTATTTAACTTCTTAAAGGTCCTGAGTTTTTATTAAAATTCAAGTGTTACAGAATCTACAAATATGAAGATTAAAACGTCCTAAATAAGATTTAGACCTGACTCCCTTACCCACCACTGAGATGTGGAAAGCCCCGTAGTTTTTCATTGGTCTTCTCTTCCCCTTTAGACATTCTCTCTCAGTGAGTATTCAAACCCAGGGCATTAATTATCAATCTATATAATCTTTGCGCCTACACTGTTCTCCTAAGCTCAAGATCTGCACTATCCAATATGGCAGCCACCAGCCACTGTGGCTAGTGAATTTCCAAACTATTGGGTTGTTGGAAAAGTCATGATGCATTTTTGCAACAAAGAACAGAAAAAATACATCATGACTTTTCCGACAACCCAATATTATAAGCAATGACAGCATCACTGGAATGAATGGATCTTTCAAATAGACTATTTTTTAAAAAACATTCTTTTGAGAACATTAAATTATTGTACATTTATTAAAATCAGTCTTGCTAAATCATAATTACACCCCGGATCTTACTTGAATTTATATAAATCTGAGGAACATAAGTTTAGTGGCTTACCATTTTTACTATATCAGAATACGCTGATTCAACAATTACACCACGATTAGTTGAAACATACTCAACCAGTTCATTCAGTGTTGCTCTTTTAATTTCTTTGCTCTTCAAGTCTGAAACAGAGTCCATGAAATCAAACAGTACACAACACTGCTGCAGTTTCTGACAGAAAAGCTCTTGTTGTTCATTTGAAGTGGCATCTATAAATAAAAATTAAGAAAAACTTAGAAATAACCTACTCAGAAGTTACCTTATATGCTTATTAATTTTGTAGAAGCTATTTGCATACATAAAACTTCTCTCAAAAATCTATTGAGAAATTTACCCATCCAATCCCATCATCCATGCCAGAAACTGGATTTATACTGGACTCTTCCTCCTCTCTCACTACCCACAATCAATCATTAAAAGTTACTGATTCTGTTTCTTTAACACGTCTGGAATCTATCCTTTTCTTGTCACTCCCACTATCATTTTTCGTGACTTACATCATCTCTCACCTAGACTACAGCAATGATATCTTAACTGTTCCTCTTGCCTGGTGCCATAACCACTACTCCTGATTTAGCCTCTAAACTACCTTCAAAGCTAAAATCTTGCTAAAATGAGAATCAATATGATCATAATACTTTTCAATGATACTTCTAAAAAGTACAGAATGAAGCTCAGACTCCTCAGGATTGTATACAAAATGCAGCTGCCCACTGTCGAGTCATTCTCGACACTTTCCAGCATGCACCTTCACTTTGGTTAGGATACTCCCTGCAATTTCCTGAAGATTTATTTTACACTGTTTCCTCTGCCTGAAATGCCCTTTTCCCACGTTTATTAAGTTTCTGCATAAGCATATTCCCTTCTTGGAAGCTTACTCTATGGCACGGAAGCAAAATTGGTTGGTTAATCAATCTACTTTTACCCAAATGTATCGTCGGTGCATATCTCTATTTTAGTATTTATTGTGTTATATGGCAATTATATTTTACATGTGTAACACTCCTAGAAAATAAGGCACCTAAGACAGGAAACAAGTGTTATCTTTCTCTCTCTCCCTCCCTCTCCACCCCCCCCAATCTTGCATTTAGCACAGTATCTGGAACATAATAAGCATTCAATAAATGTTATTTTTTACCTTCTACTTATTACAAAAATATGGGCACATTATAGTGATTTGATTCTAACAAACGTATTAAATCCTTTTGTTTCCAACATTCAAAAAATACAATTTTATTTCAGAACTTTCAAATCTATAAACAAGGACCTTCAATTCATTTAAGTTTGAACTATTGAGATTAAAATTTTAAAAATCATGTATTTCAACACTGATATTTAGCTCATAATTTACAAAAGTATTCCTCCAATCAAAATTAATATCTACTTTATATAAAGACAGAGATAGAAATCTTCATAAATATGATAACCTAACCAAGGATGCCTATGCTTTTTCAAATCTTGGGGGCAGGAAGCTAGTGAAATAATTGGGTCGTCGGAAAAGTCATGACGTGTTTTTGCAACGAAAAACAGAAAAATACATCATGACTTTTCCGACAACCCAATACTTTGAAACTACATTCAAGGTGCTGTCCTTAAAAAGCTGATTTAGATACGGTATTGCTAAAAGGTGGCAGATCAGATATCCTAAAAACCCATTTTGATTGCTCAAGTTTACTCAACAATTTAAAACAATTTTTACAATAAAACAAAATACGGATATATTATAAAGAATGACAAAATTCACATGAATTTTGAAGTAAAAATATAAAGATTCTTAAAAAAATGTGAATGTGCTGCAGCCCCTTTGTGGCTGTGCCAGTATAAACTTCTCCTAAGATGACCCACATGTACAAAGACCTTGTGTAACACTGTGATCCAGAATCATGATGTTTCTCTGCTTCATGAAGGCTGAGTCTACAATCCTAAGATGTAGGTATCAGAGTCCACGTAAAATTAATAGAGCACATGACATTTTTGTTGGTCATTTCGATAAAATTTCTGATTTAGGATCATCTTTCATGAAACTGTTCTGAAATGGGAACATTTTTATGTATATCCTTAACAAAAAAACATTAAATTTCCGGTGATTTTTAATGCCAAGTACTATGTTAAACTGTTTGTTACCTTTACCCCAGAATTAAAGCTTTTTCTATTGGGAGTGAGAATAAAGCACCATCTGGCATACATACTGCATGTAACCCGACCAGTCATATATTCACTATCCTTGTTCCTCCCTAAATGATCATCAGTCATTCTAAGCAGAATCTGTTCGTACACTGAGAAGTTAGTTGTATCCTGAATGGCCTTTTTCTTAAATCTTCTAGGGGTTTTCCCCCTAAAAGTTAAAACAGTCATATGCATTCAGTTTTAATTAATAAATGATGTCCACTTAATACTGGTATTTAGTTGATTTCAATTAATTAACATCTGCTTAATACTGATACTTAGTTTTAAAAACTAGAAGATGGACACCTCTGCTTTATGTAAGTTTCCTAATTATGCTAAATTTATTAGATTGTGTGTGTATTATACACTAGAGAAGGAGTGATTATTTGAGCTGTAAGAATCCCTCTAGTTCTCCCAGTTACTAATATCTGATAATTTATAAAAAATATCTGTATCATTACATAGCTTTATATTTTTAATATATATCTTTATAATATTTGTTAGCCGTTTCTTCCTTATGCTAAAAGCAATACAAACTCATAGAATATCCCATTTCAGTATGTGGTCACCTTATACAGCCAAGTCCTATTCTGGCTTTCCTCCCCCCACCACCACCTCAATGTGAAATCGCTCCTCTTCCTGTTCCCCAAAAGCCATGTCTTTGTTCAAACTCTCTTCCCTACCTGAAATTCCAGATTTCCTCGCCCGTGTGTCCAAATCCTATTCACCCATTAAGAATAAACTTAAACCTCACATTGTCCACAAAATTTCCCTTAGGCGGATCAGTACACAGTGATCCCTCCCTTCTCTGAACATCTGTGGTACCCACAATCTCAAGCACACAGCTGAGCACACATTAGTATCTTTAGGCTTGTATTTAACTATTTCTTTAATCACCACCAAAAGATTTCAGGCTCCTCAAAGGCAAGGGAGGGCCACTGAGGAGGGTTTCCTTTCTCATTTCTTTTACATCTAGCATGGGATATGTTAAGGAATCGACAAATACACATTTGAGTCTTGATAAATTAAATTTGAAAAATCAAAATTATGCACTTAAAAAATAGTCTATAGAACAAGGAAAAGTTCACAATAGGTGCTGGATATCAAAGGTGGCACAAATAGTGAATTATTACATGTCTGTGCTTAAGGATTTATAATAATGACTTTATCAATAATTTACCTTCATGGTAGATTTAAATAAATGAGATAGTGATCATGAAATCATATATTTCAAGGTGGAATACAAATGGAAGCCATTTTTCTCCTACACCATTGACTAGTAGCCTATGGCGAACGTGTTAGAGGACACAAAATGATTTTCAGGATTGACAAACAGCAGATTCAGGAGAACATGTTACATGTAAAAAAGGACTTTTTTTTCTAGGCACCTAACTCTTGAGTCTGGAGTTAATTTCTGGAAAGAAATTAATGTTGTTCATAGCTTCTCTATTCAGTAATCCATTTCTTAGCCTAAAGATTTATTTGAATTTGTTTTTTCTCCTCCAGAACTATATCCCAGCATTACCTAATGCTTGGGTGGGGTAGGTCACATCTGGATCTTCCGAAACATTAGAAATATTAAGAAAGCAGTTAACATTTTGACTCCTCTGGCGCTGAGTTAAAATAGAAGTTTCCAATCCTCAATTATTTTTAGGTATCAGGGAACAGGAAAGTCTTTTTCTACCTGACCCTTCCTGTAAATGCATGTTCTACTGAGCAGTCTGCTGTGCTATATAATAAATTACAACACTACTGCTAATATTAGTGCTTCCTTCACACCAAATACCATTCTAAATGTTTCATATGTGTTAATTTATTTAACTTTCAAAACAATCCTTTGAGGTTAGTTCTGACAGTTAAGAGATGAATTACTGAATTCAAGAGATGAAAGCAGGTTGGGAAAACAAGATTCAAAATAAAATAATGCCATCAGGCAATAAACAAATGTAAACGGTATTGCCATTTACCATATATACAGCCTATTATCTACATAATCTGGAATTAAAAAGAATTTGAGGGCCGGCCGAGTAGCGCGATGGTTAAGAACTGGCTAGGGGGCCGGCCGAGTGGCGCGATGGTTAAGAACTCGCTTGGGACGCCAGAGGGCCCCGGTTCGGATCCCACATATGAGGGCCAGTGACACTGCCCTCTACAGCTGAGATGCTGAACAGCAGCTCAACCTGGAGCTGGGCTGCCCTGAGACGCTGGCGACGGTGTAGGCTGCAGCCCCTGTGACAGTGGGTTGCCATGGGCTACCGTATGTAGCCAGCAGCCAGCGTGAGCGGCCAGCAGCCAGCGTGAGCGGCCAGCAGCTGCAATGAGCAGCTGTCCAGAAGCCGGTGTCTGCCTTGGCTGGGAAGAGCGCAATGATGGTGCCAACTTGGGCCAGTGAAGCAACGTCCTCCACAACTAGACTGAAGAACAAAAACGACAGCAACTTGTCTGTT